ACACACACATATATCTTATATATGCACATATATATACTATATATGACATATATACATATATATATTTATACAAACATAAAACACTGATGTAGCTATACTATATATGGTTGCTCTGAATTAAGGGAAGACAGTAAATACTGGAACATTTTAAAAGAGAATAATAAAATTAGGAAAGGAAAAAAGTTACAAGATATATTGAAGAAGAAATAGGAATAGAAAATATAATTTTGCTTCAATTACCAGAATGGTGGTAGAATTTGGTGCTGGTGATTTTCCAAATAATAGAAAGTTTTCCTCCTTAAGTCTCTCCCCCCCAAAAAAAAAACCCTTTAAATTTTAATCACTTCTAATATTTTTTTCTTTCCAGATTTCCTTATAATGTGAAAATATATTACTTTCCTTACATGTTAACTATACATTAGACATTGCCCAAGATAGACAAGGATCTCTAAAATAAAATTCTGAAGACACAAGAAGAAATTGCTTTTATGAGAAAAAAAGAGTAGCTATCTAAAGAAATCAAAGAGGCTGAATAGAGAGTTCATCAACTCACTCAGATTTTTAAAGTACATATATTGAAAATTAAAGCAAGTGCTGATAATTGAAGAAGAATGCAAAAGATTACCATAAATCAGGAGTAGATCAAGAGATGATTTTGGACATGATACTTAGATTTCACAAAGTATTTTACAGTTTCTCTCTTGCTTTGCTTATGGACAAGATAGTAAGGTGTGGGGTAGATAATACTGTATTTATGTGTCTATAGGATTTGTTGAATGACTGGGATCAGAGCAGTTGTTAATAGAAAGATGACAATGTGGAAGGTGGTTTCTAGTGGGATGCCCCAGGGCTCTTTATTAGTCCCTGGGCTATTTAATGTTTTTGTTATTAACATAAATCAGAGTATAGAAGACATACTTATCAAATCTGAATCTAATATTCTACTCAGAGGTATGATAAACATTCAAAAACAGTCAGAATCACAAAAGAACCAAACAATTAAGGATAATAGTCCCAATCTAATAAAAAGAAATGTTATAGTGATAAATGTAAAGTCTAACATGGATTCAAAAAATTTACTTCACAGGTACGAAGGGGAACTTGTCATCAAGTCCTGCATAAAAGATCTGGGGATTTTAGTGTACTTCAGTTTCAACACCTAGTTGAGTTTAACATAGCAGCCAAGAAAGCTAGAGCCATCTTAGGCCATATAAAGACAGGCAGATATTTAAAATGAAGGAGGTAATCATTTCATTGATTTTTTGTACTAATCACACCAAATCCCAAGTACTCTGTTCACTTGTGGGTGCCACATTTTAGGAAGAATATTTACAAGCTGGTTCAGACTGGAAGAGGGCAACCAGAATGATGAGAAGACTGGAGAATGTGATGTACACAAGGATCAACTGAAGAAATGAGAGGGGTTTAGCTTGGATAAGAAAAGACAAGGAACGGATGACTAATAGCACTCCAAGTGTTTCAAAGGCCATCATATGAAAGAATTCCCCTTGCTTCTTCTTGTTTTCAGAGGGAAGAGCCAGAGGTGGGTAACAATTGTGAAGACGGAGATTCAAACTTCACCTGAGGGAAACTTCCTAACAGAGCTATCCAAAAGTGGAATGTGTTGCTTCAGGAAGAAATGGGTTCCTCCGCAATGGAGATCATTAAGAAGAGGTTAAATGACCACTTGCTATTGTAAAGAGGCTTCTTGGTCAGATTGAACAAGATGACCTCCAAGGTATCTTCTACCTAGGGGAGTACTGGTAAAATTTAACAACAAAACCTCTAAAAAACAACAAAGAAACCCAAAACAACAACAATATGCCCAACACACTTCTAAGATTAATCTGCATTACTAACATTTTTTCTGTCACTTCCTTAAGGCTATAAAATCAATAAAACAATAAGTCAAGCCCTAATTTGTAGCATTTGCCAGTTTCTTGAGGTGTAAATGCTCACACCGAAAATTTAACAATTGGCTCTAACAAGCCACAGAAGCTTTGGCACACCAGTGCTTCTAACTCCTAGATTCTGCAATCACCTTCTTAAACAAAGGAAACTGAACATCATTTGACCTTTCCTTGATGACCCAGGGTCAGCAATATGAACATCCATTATTGTGTTGTGCTGCAATACAGAGATATCCTTCGAGGCCATTTAGGTCTATAAGGTTCTGCATGTCAGTCAGTCAGTCATCAGGCATTAATTAAGGGCTTACTATGTGCCAGGCACAGTGCCAACTGCTGGCCTAAAACAAACGCATAATAAACAGTTTGTATAACGAATTACCCATGACTATTATAAGAAACTAAGTTTTTTCTTCTCTCATGGTTGTCACTGTTTTCCATCCCTGCTTCATATTATTGTTGGTTGTAATCTCTGTTGCCACTTTGACCTTATTCCTCTGTTTTCTTTCACTTGCCCCATTATTTCATACCTTTTTCTCCTTCATTGTCTTTACTCTTTCTCTTTCCTGATGTAGTGGGGTTTTGGGCAGACACTGCCATGCAAGGGAGCCATGCCTTTCTTCTGATTAATCCAAGGATAAATAACACATCATTGTTGGTAATGCTGGCATATATTAGAGAACCAGAGGGGATCTTCAGGTTCATCCAGGTTTACCCTCTTGTTTTATACATGTGGAAACCATGGCCTGGCATGTTTAGGGCCGCAGGAATGGGGAACCTGTGGCCTCGAGGCTACATGTGCCTTCTAGGTCCTCAAGTGTGGCCCTTTGACTGAACTCAAACTTCACAGAACAAATTCCCTTAATAGAAGGATTTGTTCTGTAAAACTTGGACTCAGTTAAAAGACTGCACCCAAGGACCTAGAAGGCCACAGATTCCTTAAGCCTGCTTTTAGGCAAATTGCCCAAGGTTTCACAGCTTGCACTGTGGTGAACCTGGATTTCACTAGCAGTGCTAAGACTGGAACTGAGCTTTTCTGACCCTTGGTTTATATCTCTTTCTGTTCCATCACACCGAACCCTTAGCTTTTCTCTCTTGTCTTTAATTATATCAGAATCGATTACTATTATAGATGGCTAAGGATGACAAACATCTATCAAGTCTGTCTTTCCATTTGGAAAAAATATGGCACGAAGGAAAGAAAATATCACTCACTCAAAGTTTAGGACACCTGGGTCTAATCTTTGTTCTTTTACCAGTAGTTCCTGTGATCTTGGTCAAAGCACTTAGGGCTCAGTTCTTTTGTCTGCAAAATGGAAGTGAGAACACTCCCAGAATCTACCTCTCATGATTGTCATAAGAAAAGTGTTTTGTGAACTGCAAAGTATCACCTAAACATGAACTATTAATACTGTTCAGCAAAATAAAGTGAGATGGTTGAATTAATAAGTAATCAGTCAGATCCCTGCTAGGTTTAACCAGGCTATCCTGTTCCATTTTTGCTTTATCTCTTCTATTACATTTCATTCCAGCTTCTACAGAATTAACTGGGTGTTACTGAAGTTTTAGAAGAGTATGAAATTAAGTAAATAGACATAGAAGTGGAGAAGACAAAATAAAATGACTATTAAGAAATTATTTTCCTATCTCTCAGAAGCCTAAGTTTCATTTAAGGCTCAACTGAAGTCTCATAGCTATAAGCTGAACTCACAAGCTACAGGAAGCTTTTTCTATCCCCCAACTCTCACCCCTCACCCCTCACCATTGTTGTTGGTACTGTCTGCTGCCTCCTCAAATAATCATATATTTATTTATCTGTTCATATATTGCATTCCCAAGGTAGAAAGTTAGTTCTTTGAGTGCAAGGATTCCTTTTCACATTGCCTTTTTATTCCCAGCACTTAACGGTGGCTTACGTGCAATAGGTGCTTAATAAATGCTTGTTGAATTGCACTGTATTTTTTTAAAAATCTCTGCAATGAAAATGCTTTAAATTCAGGTATGCAAGCTATGCAAGGTCCATCAGGCTAAAATGGCTTCAAACTTGAGTCCAGTCTTGCTAAATCAAGGGGGACTGTCACCCCAAGAAGCTGATCTCAAGTGAGGAATTGTTGCAGTCACAGAAATTCTAGGTCTAGATAAAGTAATAACATATATGTACTTTTTTGCAAAGGGTGGGGGAAATCAATCCAGAGGTGTGATTTAATCAGTATGTGGGAACTCCCAGCATGGAAATTTCCTTAACTAATGCACTCATCTGTAATTTAAAGTCTTAGATAGTTAGAAAGATCCTTAGGACACTAAGAGGATAAGTTAACTTAACTATGGCCACACAACTAATGTGTGTCAGAGACAAAATATAAACCCAGGACAAGTTCTTGCCAAGGCTTGTCTTCTATCTACTATGCCACACTATCAATCATATATGTACACATGTTGGTCATAGATACACGTGATAAATTGCTTCTAATTCTATCTTCTCTGTCTCTTCTCTTTTGTAAAAACATCATAAGTATATTGTGAGAAGACTTTTCAATAGCTCATTTATTCTGGTAAGAAAAATAATGATAGAGATGGGACCTGTGATTTCATTAAGAGCTCATGGGGAAGATATCCTCTACCAATGGTAGTCAGTATCTTCTCTACAATCTAATCGTGAATTACCCATAGAAAGATTAAATGAACTGCCCGTGGTCATACAGCTAGTATGTTATCAGAGGCAGGCAGGATCAGAACGTAGATCTTCCCAGCTCTGAGGCTAGCTCTATCCATCACTATTTTGCCCATCAAAAATGGAAGTAAAATGATATCTTAGAATTGATGGGTTTAAGGGTGTCATCTGTGCAAAAAAAGTACAAAATGATCAGTATCAGCTCTATAAATTTCTGCAGTTTGTTGCACTACTTTTTAATTCATGTTGGCTCTCTAGAGCCCTTCTTTTAGTCTCCTGAAGGAGATATTTATTTACAGCTAAATATGAAATCAAAGATTTGAACATCTTTCTCAAAGCCCCAGTTTTAGAACTATCACTTACCTGCTAAGGACATTCTAAAGCTCAAGCATGTCAGAGCCGAGAAGAAAACTCAGTTCTTTTGAGAAGAGAGGTTTAGGTGCCGTCCAGGGTCTATTTGCCCATTCTTCTGTGTCTAGGCAGAAGGGGGGAAAATGGAGTTCTATTTAAGTCATTCTATGCAAGCTCAGATTGTTCTCATTACAAACTCTTCTGTCACTTGCACATTTTGGGAACAGTCATTAGCATAAACTGGTTTCAGGACACTCTAACATGTGAAATGCAAAAAAAAAAATCTAGCCACAGATTTTCTGGGCTCAGGTTTTAAGCAAGTGAACTTAATCTCAGTGTTCTCAGGGTTCTCCTCCTTATGCCAGTCACAATTTCTAATTAGCTTTCCCAATGGGGGAAGAAGATGGATTATATTTTAATATCTAGAGACTAAAATTAGTTTACATTTTAGCAAGTTAGCACTTCTTAGCAGTTGATTTACTCTTGAAGCTGCAAAATCTGTGAGCTTGCAATTAATCATGCGTTGGTCATTTTCTTTCAAAAAATGTTCAGTTTGGCTGTCTGTATCATAATAGGGGAAAACATGTAATTTATTCAGTTTAGAAATTATAGCCCTGTGTTTAACTATGTCATAATACATTTTCTCATCTGCTCATTGTTCTTAACACTATAAAAGAATGTCATTTTATGGAGATTTATTTAAACAAAACCTTTTAAGGGCAATCCCTGACGAAATAGAATTGTCTTTGTTATGCTTCTGTTGTTATTGTTTTCTTTTTTGTTGTTTTTGATTTTTAAAAGTATATTATACTTGTTTTATTTTGACCATTCTTTTTTGGTTTGTTTGTTTGCTTAACAGCAATAAAAAGTGAATCAAGAACATAGATTGAAAGACAGAATGGACCTGAGAAGCTACTAGTGCAATCCCTTAGTTTTCCAATGAGGAAAGTGAGGTACAGATGGGTGAAGTGACTTGTCCTTGGTCATGCAAGTAGTCAGAGGAGGAATTTGAACTTAGGTCCTCTAACTACAGAGATTATGTGCTCTTCCTACTGAACCATACTGTTCTGATTTCTACTGCTAATAAGAAATTTTTCTTTTCTTGAGAATTCTCTACTATATGTGGGTTATACATATATCCTTAGTCTATAAATACAAAATTAAACACAATACAATTTCAAGGTGGTAACAGAGATGTCTGAAGATAATGTAGATGTAAAGCAATAAAAGATCATTCTCTTAAAAATTAGAGTCAAGAGGAAAAAAAATTAAACCACCTATTTTACACAGTTCTCTTCAGCTAACCTCAAAAAAAAAAATTAACCCAGAAACTGCTTGACATCCTAGAATAGTATATCACAATGCTGCCAGCATACTGATCATCCACTACGGGGCTGAAACAAATCAATTAGGATGCCAATTGTATTCATTAGAATTCATTTAAATCTCCATAAAAAAGTTAATTAAAAATAAGAGTGGTGAGGAAATCATGTCTAACATTCTTATTCAACCAAAATCACCAAATTAATTTCAAATCCAAATCAACAATCAGTATCCGAAAGCTCTCTTTCTCCCACAGCCCAAAGGTAGAGTAAACTGCTCCAGCAGATCAAGTGAATCTGACTGTATTGCCCTCGTGGAAAGGGCTTCCAAAGGAAGGCACTTATTTCACACTAGTGTTTTACATTAACAAGTAAGCTGGCTTTGGAATAGTGTTTAATGATATAGGTGCCTCTATTTGGTCAACCTCAGCATTCTATTAAGGCAGGTGACCACGGGTCCAGGAGCGAATTCTCTTTTTCAATAATCTCAGCTCAAGGCCTCCTTTTTCTGTGTTATTGAGTGACAACATATAAAAATAGTGGAGCTGGGCTCTTCTTCAGCAATTAGAACCACTTTGATGTGGGAGCTGTGCTACATAATGGCACTTACCAGGCGCTATCATTCAGAATCAGGGCTCTATTTTCTAAGAAGGACCCCATGCCTTCCTAATATAAAGTCTAAATGCCTCTAGTACAGCTGTGAAAGTCACAGGGAATTGGGATTAAAAATTTCTCTGATTAGAGCACGAAATTCTTTGTCTCAGTTTCTCTCTTCTTCTGTATTGGGTCAGGTAGTGGCAGCTCCTTTAGTTTTCAGAGGTCCAAAATGAAAGCCCCTGTGAGATGGAGAGAATCTTCTTGACAAGCCATGGGAAGCTTTAGACTAATTTCATATTCAGTTCTTGGCATGAAGGTCTGGGTGGAGGTGGGCAGGGTCCACCCTGCCTTTCCGTCTCATTAATCATTTGGCTTTTCCTGGCTGCTTGAAGTCTCTTCTGGAGGAACCCTCCTCTTTATTCATTCAGACAACCCTTTGGATTAAACAGAGCCAGCTAAATGTCAAAGCAAATCTGAGTCTTGATGCAGATAATCATTTCAATAATATTTCTCCATTTGTGCCCAAACACCAGGGGAATAAAGCTTTTCTGCTGTCAGGTACTGTAAGACTGCAGTTGGTGTAAATGCTTGACATTGAGCCAGATGGCTTAGCCGTGCCTCAAACATATGTTCAACAAGCAGGCTTGCACACATTGGAATTTTATTATTTTGAACTGGCGAGGCATGCATATTTATTTACTTGACCCCCTTTGGTGTCACTTTGGTATTAAAACAATCAGTTGTAAAGCTTCTCCAAGCAATAGGGTAGGGCTAGTTTATAAACTACTTGTCAGTTTCACATCAGCACCTGTGGTGAAGTGTTCCCTTTCTTACAGCCATTGCTGATAACTTAACCTGAGGGTAGTGAAGTGTTCTGTGGTTGGAGATGGAGAGAAGACAGGATCAGGAGAAAGGCACATTAGCCCACCCTCTAGAGAACCATCAAAGTGCCCTTTTATGACCAAGTGTTTACAAGGCCCTGGACAAGTAATTTTCTCACGCATTATCATGTATTTTTCACCTAGGAAAATGTTTCTGTTTCATCGGGATTATCATTAAAACATACATATGCATATGCGTGAGCACAGGCACATTCACATACACACACAAGTACACACATAGAACTCCACCCCTAAAATATCTGATGAAAACTTGTACTTGTTATAAAGGAAATGCGCAGTATTGATTTAGGGCAAGGACAGAATGAAATAATTACAATTAACTCATCAAGCTGATAGTACTTCCAAGATATAACATGTATAATGGTTTTTAAGGCAATTGTATATAACATATTTAGAGAAGAATGGAGATCCAAGTCACTTGGTTAATTCTTATTCAGTGTCTAAAATGCCAGAGAAAAGCATTAGGAATTAGGGAAATTGCAACTTTGTGTCATTCTACATGTGGGTTTTATAGCATGGTATTGACTCCACACCTATAATTTTCTACCTCTATAATCTTTGAATGCTAGAGGTAGAAGGAACCTTAGTTTATTCTAGTTGAACTAGCTCATTTTACAGATGTAGAAACTGAGGCCCAGAGGGTTTAAGTGATGTCCACAGAGTAACAGCAGTTTAGAAGCAGAACCAGAATTAAAACTTAGGTCCCCTGACTCCTACTCCAGTCTTCTTTCTAAAATGAGATTTTTAAAAGTACAATGAATGATAATAGCTGACATTTATATAACACTTTACAGTTTACACACATGTCAAGGACCTGTGGTTTCATGAATATGTAACTTTCCTCCACCAAAGCAGTTCACAGTCAAGCTTTAACTTGTAGTTTTAGTGAGTTGCCTGCAGGGCAGATAGCTAGCTAGCTAATAGCGTCTCAGGTTGGGTTAGAGCCTGGGTCTTTCTAACTCCAGCTGTAGTACTCTCTTCAATATGGCACGTTCCCATTCAGTTTGCAAATACTAATAGTAGCCAACATCTATGCCGTATTTTACAGTTTGCAAAACACATTTGATTCTCATAGCAACTCTGCGAGGTTAGGAGTGCAAATATTATTGTCCCTTGTTTCACAGATGAGAGAGAGAGAGAGAGAGAGAGAGTGAGTGAGAGAGGCAGAGACAGAGAGAGAGAGAGAGAGACAGAGACAGAGAGAGAGGGAGGAAGGGAGAGAGGGAGGGAGAGAGGGAGGGAGAGAAGAAGGGAGGGAGGGAGAGGAGAGAGACAGAAAAAGACAGAGAGACAGACAGACAGACAGAGACAGAGATTCAGGAGTTAATTTTCTAAGATCACACAACTAATAACTTAAAAGCACAATTTGTATCTAGCCCTTTAGATTTCATGTTATTGTTGTTTTTTAAAAAATACCACTGCTGCCTCTTAAATAACACTCATGTACATAATCATAGTCATGGAAAAAGTGAAGAAGATGTACAAAGTCAAAGAGGGAGAGGTTATTATATACTCTGGGGAAAGAGGATTTTTTTAATCCAATGAAAATAAACATTTTAGATTCTTCATCTTTACAAATAGTTAACTTATTTTGATTTTTTAAATCAAAGAATGATATAGATAAGCAATTATAATCATTTAAAATATCTAAATGATAATTTATTTAAAGGATAAAATAATATTTTCAATATTTACATAAACATATACAGTTCATAAAAGCTGTTCAAATAGTTTTCTTATGGGCAGTGGGTATTCAATAAACATAATTTGGGTAAATCTGTCACTTAAAGACCTGAACAGTCTGACTTCATTTTGCCTTTTCAACATTATTACATATTGATCTCTTAGTGAATACTAATGTTCAACAAAACTGTCCTTTTTCCCTGCCTCTCCTACACAATACCTTATCTCTTTCACCATGGCTTTGTAATGGCTATCCATTGTGCCTGGAATCCCTTCCCTCCTCACCTCTGCCTCTTAGAATCCCTAGATTCTTTCAAGGTTCAGCACAAACATTGCATTCATAGCAATACAATTTTAGAGCTGGAAGGGACTTTATCTCTATAAATGAGGAAACTGATGCGCAGAGAAGTGCTATAGCTAGTGTCTGGGGAAGGATTTGAATTCAGGTCTTCCTGACTTAAGTCTAGTGCCTTACTTAGCATGCCATACTGGATCTCGTTATTGCCCCAAGTGAGAATGTCTTCTTGCCAAAATTAACTTTATTCTATTTAGTTTGTATTTTTGCATATACCATACCTGTACTTGTCTCTCCTGGACAGATTATAAACTACTTGAGAGCA